TCTTTTAAACATTTCTCGCCAAAGCGCAGTTCCAATGCGCCGGATAAAGCTTCGAAGTCAAGTCTTTTGGTTTTCTGGAAGCGTCTGCAGGATATCCGCTGCGTCTGCTCTCAGAGAAGCGGCGAGATGGCAGGCCTTAGTTTGGGAATCCCATCCATTCGCATCCGCTAAACGATAGAAAATTGTGTTTTATACACTTGCCAGGATGTATTCCCATCATATGTGGATATCTTCAGAGATGGACGAGCAGGCATCGGTAAGAATTTAAAAACCCTCATCACTCCTGCTTCCCTGCCGTTCGCTACGAACTTCTTTAAAGAAATCCATTTCAATTTGTTGCAACGGCAGAAACTCTCTCTTCAAATTTTTCTTTTTACAGAAGAAACTCTTTCTTCAATTTGACCTTCTTTCACCGAAGAAAACTTTTCTTCAATTTGTCCAACTTTATTTTCAACCACATCTATTCTGCCTTCCATAGCATCGAATTTGGTTTCCTATTATGCAGGCAATTTCTCTTTTCATTTCTTTCTTGACTTCAAGCTTGAACGGCTTTCATTTCGTCTTTAAACGGATTCCTGGCCAATTTCATTTCTTCCTTAACGGATTCTTGTCCCCTTCAATTTCTTCCTTAAATGATGCTTGGCCAGCTTCCATCTTTTCTTGGAACGCAGGTAAAGGCACTGAGATCAACTGCCTTAATTGCTCTTCCATCGCTCTTGTTATTGGCATTCAAATCCCACTTCTGACACCAAAAATTGTTGCGTGCGTGCGTACGGTTCGTTATGAAATGAATGCACAAGTCCGATGAAAAATGAACAAAAATTTATTATTATCACAACAAAAATGCTTACATTTTCTCAAATTATCATGCAGTATTACAATATCTCACAGTAGTTATCTTTTAACTACTCAAATGTCCAATAGAACGTAATTCAAAACAGCTAAAGAACGCTAATCCGCGAATTCGCTACAATCAACAAGAGCAGTTTTCTAAACAACAACAAACTAAGCAACTACTGCGAACTGAGACGTTTTCCTCCTTTTATAAGATTTTAAAATCACGCGCTAGAATTTTCCAGTACTTTCTCGAAATCAAAAAGAGATATTTATTTATTTAATGCACGCCATCTTGTATTTTCAATTTTCCTGCTTAGCTTTCTTTTAATATTCGTCACGCCGCTGCACTGCGCGAGAAATAAAACCATTTAATTTATAATTGAAGTAACATTAGCTTTTTAAATACCAAATTCGTAACAATATGTAGAGATTTAACAAAATGAAGTTATACTTCTACTTTTAAAAATTGTTTGTTCAAAAACATTTTTCTGTTAAGTTCCTATTTTTCCCCTTGTGTCTTTTAACTGTTGTCTTAATCATCTTTATTTCGTGAACGTCCTCACTGGTATTATCTCAGTTAACCGCAGTCAATTGTGCTTCATGTAAGAGCATAGCAAGAGTTTTTCAGGAATATATCATTGCGACTAGCTACAGGAATAAACAGTTGACCACAGGATGCATACACAAGCTGCAGATGATAAATTAAATCTCAATTAGCGAAATGCTTGTGCAATTCAGAATATACAGATGCACTCCTTCGTATTATTAGTCCAACGGGGCAGTTTGCCCTGAAGGACTATTAATTTGGTTTTGGCATTTTGCGTCGAAAACTTTAAAAGTCTATATCACTTTTCAAATCGTTACCACCATATATTATCACTCTGTCTTATATTTAAAGAAAAATATGATATAATAAAGGTAATTGTTGTTATGTTTCTAGCATGTGATAAAAAAAGGGTACACAGAGCCATCAAATTTGATGTGAATTTTTTGAATGTGAAATCTAGGAAAAAAAAATCTTTCTGTTCTTGTTAATGTTCCTAATTGCAATCCAGCTTTGCCTTATGCCTTTAAAGAAATTATGTTGTAGTTCTGATTTCATCAACAGATGGCGCCTATAGCTTATTTTCTGTCGAGGCTTTCTTATCTTATCTGATCATTATAACCTATCTCGTTCATTGCGCTTTTGCAGCTGAGGATGGTGGTTCGGTAAAACCATCGAAACTAGTCCTGTGAAAATTTGAAAATATAACGCTGATTTTTGTTGCTTGACTTCTGAATCAGCTTCTCATTATTATACTCTTAATGCGAAAAGTCATCATTTTAATTTATGATAAATTTAAAGTTGTAATCCACCAGGAACAATTAATTTCATTTGGATTTAATTTGACTTGTGTTTTGTGTTGACATTGAAAAAGTTATCGCGAACAGGTTAACCGTTAAATATTCACTTCAAGAAAGTATGGCTGATAGTGAAGTAACGGCTTATAGATTTAACAGCTTATAGTAAGTCAAATATTCACTATTCAACTATTCCCTTCAACTGTTCACTTCAAAAAAATATCACACCACAGTGTTACAAAGTATATTATGTATAGCATTAAAAATATTAAAGTATAAATATTTTTAAAGTTTATTATCATCGAAAAACATTAAAATACTACTACGATGTATATATTATTATAATTAGAAAACTTGTTCTTCCTCTTCGTTCAAATTTCAAATGCAGAAGTCTCCGATACCCAAATCGGCTTGGATACCACAACTGGCGCGCTTATTGATGTCTTAAAAACCGAACTTCACCAGTCCTCATGTGTACCGTATACTAGGATTAAAACCATTATAATTTTTACTATATACATTTCTAAAATTTGGCGGCACACTTTAATTCACTGTGCCCAGTGGTTGAGAATCACTGAACTATGCCATTATCTAAAATGTAATAATCTATATACATAAAATTCTGGGGTTCGTATTGCACCCATGACCATGTGTGATGAAGAATATGTTTTTAATAATTAGTTCATATCCATGAATAAAATTCGGCCAAGACTGTCTACAAGGCTTCGAATGTTATCTTTCTAACTACGCAGTAAAGTCTCCCCAGGATATAACGCAGAGAAGCATTGCCAATCTGCTGCACCTTACTTCTAGTAATCTTATTACATATATATAATGTTGTAGTAATTACTATACTCCCTGGCAGAATGAAACTAAAACTTATAGAGTCATTAAGTTATTTTATGCTGCAGACGTCAAAAATATGCAGTGCCTTGGCAGGGATTCGAACTGTGGCACGCAAAATGGATGGAGAAAATACTTTATCAAATATCAAATGCTAAATTGCAGTGATAGTGGGAGACGCACAAAAAAAAAAAAAAAAAAAAAAAAAAAAAAAAAAAAAAGAGTAAAAATTGCTTTATTTAAGCTGGCATTTACATTACCTACGACGTCTGACCATCTCAGACATCCGATACATAAGCTGGGAAATTGCAATTCTAGACTGAATATTTAACATGCATTCCTTTGACGGAAAGAGAAAAGAATGATTTATGACATCAATGAACTTCCAATGAGTCATAGTTGGGAGAAAATAGGGGGACGCAGTCTTCTTCGCGGGTCTGAAAGCCAGGCGGTTCAGAGCGAGTCTCTATTAAAATATTAAAGTTACTCATGTGGCCCTATTATTGTTTGACAGTGGGATGGGTAGGATAGGATGTAGGGGAGAAAGAAAGAAGCATCTCAGCCGATTTTGGAAGGAACTGGAAGTCGACGATTATTCACTTAGCAACGGGAAGGGATGGAAAGTGGTTGAATGGATTTATTGAGAACTTTTTTCCGAGTTCTTTGTTACTTTGTTGGAGGCCGTGTTCATTGGAAGAGGATTCCTATCATTGATAAATAAAGAAACCAAGAAACTAATCGCGAAGTCAAGGAATCGACACGTCTGTAAAACCATAGCTAGGCTTATTATGATAAAACGAGGGCACTGTATTCGATTAAGAGCGTGGAACTTTCGAAGCGGTTCTAAACGCAGGTCTCGAAAAATATTTTATGATTCTTCATAAAATTGATGAAAAAGAAATTTTCCAGCTTCCCCCCCCAAAAAAAAGAAGTTATCCCTCCCCCCAAAATGACGGTAGGCTCTCTTTTAATTTAAAGAGCCGATCATGTTTAATGCTTAGGAATACTAACGGAAGTGTGAGGATGTTATAGAACAAATAAAACAAACAAAAGATTTTATACACATATATATATTTTACTTTTTATTTATTACATTTTTTCATTCAAAATGACCCTATCTAAAATTGGTCGATGATATGAGAAATAGCATACATAACTTAAGATGTATATTCCTAGTAATTAGTACTAAAATGAAATACAGCAAATACCACTCGAACACTCTGACTGTCTACGCGCGACTGTCTGGCTGCCTGACGGCCTTGCCGCTCACGTGCGGTTGCGCATGCTTTGACATCTCCAAAATTTCGCTATTTTGACGCATTACTGTGCGTTATACTCCTTGTCCAATTAATTTTTTTTTGCTAATTCCCCCCCCCCCGCCACGGAGGGTCAACTAAAGGACAGTGTATGACACTAATCTTCGTTCTCATTGTTGGCGGCTGGTTGCCGGCCGCCTTGACTTGCGTTTTATAGCCCCTGACTATGTGCAATTTTGTCGCCCCGGGTTTACCTGGGGGGGGGGTTATGCCTTCCCGGATCGCCTTAGCGGTTGGGGCATCATCACTGTGTATGGGTTTCTCTAAGTCTGGGTATAGGAGTCCCTTCTTCTTAATTTACTGCGTTTGCTAATATGCTTTTTAATGTATCTAATGATATTTAATATCTGTTCTGAAAGGTACAAAACAATAATAATCGAATCTCGACTTATCTTGAATCTCGCAGGAAGAGAACAAAATTTGAGATAAAAAGTTTTCGGGGCAGAAAGGATTTTATTTCTGATACATTTTAATACAATAGTGTTGTACAAAGTTAACAACATCCAAAATATTGACTAATAAGAATACGAAATGTTATTAATATTTAATCTTTAAGATTTTAAATAAAATGCAAGTTATATCGATGTTTAAATAAAATTTTATTAAATACGTGATAGAAACATCAGTAATCTTAGCAAACGTAATACGTTAATAATGTTCCAGGTTTTTCGAAAGTGGAGAACGCTCTGTAAACAGTCCACACCAACGATATATATACTGGTAGAGAGCGTATCTACGACCTCCAACCAGTTCCAGCATTAGTGTCATGTGACTTATGGCCGAATTTCGAAAGTCCAGAAGTACTTTACATTCATTTCTATGGGACGAAAGACGACTGCTCTGCTTTGTTACGTAAAATTTAAGAAAAAATACTTATTTGCTGCAGCGCCTATGGATGTAACGAAAGTTTTGTAAAAGGAAGACCTGTAACCTTTCATAGGAAAGTTAAACCTGAATGATTTATTATTCTGTTTTCAGTATTTTTGCTTTTTACTATCTCTGTTGAATTGGTTAGAAAGTCTCGGCGATATTGTATAAGAAAATTGCCGCTGTATATGACATTTTCAGCATGTATTATTATCATCAAAATGTATTAAAAATACTGTGACACTATCTACTGGAATCACTCTTTACATGTAATTAAATTTTATAATTCTTTTTCCGTGTGCTCCGTTGAAATAGAAAGCTGCGCCAATTGGCGTTAACCTTTTTTCGCCTAGTCGTACGCGTTTTGGTTCGTAAACAAGTACTGCCTACACACACACACACACACACACACAAAAAAAAAAAAAAAAAAAAAAAAAATTAAAATATTGGAAAAAGATTGTGCGATATATTTACTTTGTAAAAAAAAAAAAAAAAAAAAGGGTAATCCTAGTATCCGGTGGACAAGGGATTTGGCTACTTTGGCGACTTTATGATGAGCAGTAAACGGACATATACGATGAGTATTAAACGGGTCATTTGTTCTGTTCTCACGTATGCTGATTTATTATCTTAAGATTATCATTTTGTTTACTTTTTGCCACTCAAATTGTGGCGACGCTTTACTTTAAGGGCTGCCAAAATTTGGCGACAAACTAAACGCATCATTTTGGTGTTGGCGACAATTTTAAAAATCGCGCCAAGGCCGCACCGTATAGTAGGATTTTACCAAAAAAAAGAAAAAGCTGAAAATCTTGAGTAAAGCTTACCTGTAATTTACTCGGGACGGTAACTTTCGGTTTTACACTGCACCATTCCACGGCATAGAAGAGCTTGCTAATTCATAATAAATGGCCAATCAATAATGAACACACCAACTTCACGGTACGTGAATTTATTTTGCACACACACATAAAAATATAATAACTAAATTTTACAGAAGAGAACTTCCGCAGAATATGCCAGTTCGCGCACACCACACCTCTTCCTTTTGCCTCCTTCCCCAACTGCCCATTTTGGCGAGTTTCTTTTGCTGGCGCTTCTGCGCCAAAGTTCACATTTTGTGAAATTTGCCTTCTTGGCTTGTATATAAGTTTTTGAACCTTACATGTGTCTCCTTGGGAAGCGTATACGTCTCCTTAGAGACCATACGCACAGTCAAATATCTAAGTTCATTGTTTATGTCATATCGAAGTTATAATAAGATTATATCAGTTTCATTATACCTGGTTCACTGTACATGGTTCAATAAAAATATAGATAAAATATTCAGGGAAAAAAGCATTAAATTATATCTAAAAATAACTGTAAAAAAATCGAATAATCTAATTCGAGATCGTTATTTGTCAACTGCCAGCAGACGGAAATAAAAAACACTCCTTGCCATATCAAAAGCGCGCCAAACATGAACAGCCTAAGCTATCACTCCCCAAGAGCGCCAAGACCATAAATCACGTGGTATATGCTGGGGTTGGGCTGGCAAACGAATTCCCTGTGAAATGAGCCGTCTACCTGTTATATGAAGTCATTGGTGCAGCCGAATAATTGAGGGCCAGTATTTTTATAAATCTCTTAAAAGATATCCAGTGTGTTAAGAACGTGTGCTTTTTTAACTGTCAAGTTTTAGTCTCATCTTATAATTCCGCTTCATCATCCTCGGCTGATGGGATTTATTTCACGCTTTATTTCATCTTCGGTATTTGCTCAAATTCGACGAGTTTCAATTCCAAGAAATCCTCAAATGAAAATTCAAGCTTTAGTTTAATTTTAAAGAATTTCACACTGAAGCTATTTTCCTCTTGATATTCTACAGTTCGATGGTTTGATTTTCTGTTCTTAAATTACAGAAAATATATCGTTATTCGCTGATTATTCTCGTATCGAAGACTGAAAATCATTGAAAAGTTTCCCTGCCGAGCATTGTTATAGCCTTTAGATGTCTTGCCTTTTAGAATAAACATAAATTTTAAAAAAATCATCTGTAATCTGCCTAAAAACCTAATGATTACGTACGGACAGGTCAGTGCAGACTCAGTGTTTCATGGGGGAGGGGGTGGAAATTCGACTGCTAATTCATTGTTCAAAAGTTCTTTATCGGTAGGACTTAGAAATTTGAAATCAGGCCAGTAGCAGAGCCGGTCGCAATTGTGCACCAGTGGCAAAATTTAGTGGCGGCGAAATATTTAGAACTTAGGGAAGGATCAGGCAGCAGAAATTATAAGCTACAGTTCAGTGTTGATGAAAAACACGGTTAAGAAGTTCCTGTGAAAATGGGGTGGAGCTCCGTCTAGTTTGCAAAATGTAATCATCACAATTGGTGTTCAGCTGGGGTAACAACTAGGTTTCCAACATGTTTAAAAATGAGTCACAGGTCACAGTTTCTTCTTCAAAGAAAAATGGGCCGTGCAACTTTCTCGCTGAACACCGTATAGAAAGCGCTCAACTTCTGGAGAATCACGCCAGATACTTGTCCATTTTTAACTACATCTCTTCACAAAAGTCACGCTTTTTCACTTTGTCTGCTACACTAATACCACTTTGTACGGTTTAACACATAGCCGCTTATGCAAAATCTTCCACATCGTATGCTTTTGCATGTCTAATTCCCAGCCTGCTTTACTAAGTGACTAGCGAGGACTTCGCTAAAATCCTCGCACATACTTTCAACGTTTGCATCAGACACAGGAAGTTTACCAGAACCCTTGCCTTTTAAAAGGCATTTAAATCTCACAACTGTCGGTACCATCTACTTATGTTATTCTTGTGTGGTGGGTCTTTTCTAAACCCTGCACGAAACTCACACTGCACTGTAACCACAGATCTGGACAGCTCAAAACGGAGCACACAGAAAGCCTTTTCCTATTGCGACACCATCTTGGAAATTGACAGTAAGACTGCTCAGTAAGCATAGCAAGCAAACAGCAGGTAGGGTATGAGAAATTTGAATAGTTGCCAATGCTTACGGTGTAGGTTTTACCACGGATAGCTAACTAACTAAACTTTATACCCAACCCGTGAACTAAATCACATGTTGGGGACTAATACAAAGCATCAGTCAGTGTCACCCTAAGATGACGATAGAACACACCTGCTGGGCCCAGGGATCCCACAAATCCGAGACACCAACAATTTTATTAAGCTCCCTCTTTCCCACTGCTACACATGAATCAGTCAGAACCACCGTTCCGGCCAGACCGAGACCACGGTGGGTTGGGCATGAGAACTTGGAGCGATGACTGGCGTCTTAGCTACTGCCAGAATCGCGGGATGCCCCTTCCTTAGGCTTACACGGAAACCTGGACACAGGACCACTCTCAATGGTTTGCTATTTGGCTTCCATACTCTGAAGGATGAGGACTTGCATCTCCCGGCCCATGAAGTGTGAATATAAGATCCACCCCATGGACCATCGGGAACCGCCAAGTTCATAAATTTTATACCCTCGTGGCGAGACTGCCTAGGTAAAGATCCTAGCCAGTACTTCGCAGAGTATTCTACGTGCACCCCTGGGGGGGTTACCACTGGTAAGATACATCGATGCATTATTAATTTTTAAACCCGCGCCATTCATTTATAAACACCCTGCAAGATGACATAAATATAATTTCTTCATGCACCATAAAAATAAATATTTCTGAGCTAAGAATTTGTGAGTAAATCTTAATTTCAACAATTCAAAATCTATTAAAATTATATGATTCTACATACAATACAGATTTTGCTTATTAGCATATAGGGTCATTTAGAATATTTTCGATGTCAGGAAGTTGGAGGAATCTGAAGGGTCCTGGCCAGGATTTGAACTCAAGATCTCTCGACTAGGCATGGAAAGGGCTTTTAGATCTGCCACGAAGACAGGGTGAAAAGGAGGGAGAAAACACCTTATATACTTTCCCTTTTAAAGAGCCACCCACTAGGGATGAGCAGGCCTGATCGCCAAACCGTAGTGTGACGAATTATAGTTTACTTTTATTTAATCTGGGCACTACTTATAGAATTATTAGGTTTATCGATACAGGAAATGAAGAAATACGCAGTGCCTAGACGGTCAGGATTTGAACTAGGATTTAGTCAGGATTTGAACTTCGGACCTCCCGATCACACATCGGACGTCTTTCCAGTTATACCAAGTAGGTGCGCGGAAAGGAGGGAGAAAATGCGTTATAAATATTTTGAAGCAATAAATAGTGGAAATTTTTCTGAACTTGTACAGAGAATAAAAAGCGACGAATTAAGATCTGATATAAAGGCGAACCGGCTCCGGTACTTCTTGTTTCTGAGACACATTCTGACTCTAGCCGGAGCGCACCGGAGATATAAATAAGAAGGCTCCGGCACTTCTTTTATGTAACTGAACAATTATTTCAGTAGAAATTTGATCTTGAAAATTTTATTATTAGCAATAAAATTATATTAAAAATCGCTTATTAAATTTTAATTACTTATTTTTAATTTTAATTATTTAACTACTTTAATTATTTTAAATAAATTATGAATGAATTAAAATATTAATGAATAAATGCATAATTATTAATTAATTTGATACTCATTGACTCTTTAATTTTTAAATTATTAATGATTTTTAATGGTAATTTTATTTATTTATTTACTCTTGTTCCCCTTTCCTGATGGTCTTTCATAGGGCTCCGGCACTTTTAGAAATTAAGCCCTGGAAAGGGCGAGCCAAATTAGTTAAAAAACGTTAGAAGTACAATAAAGCATTCAGCTGTGAAACACGTTAAGAAACGCCATTTTAAAATGTCATATTTCAAGCAAAAATTTAAAAAAAATTACTGACACTGTCTACGATAATTGAAAAGTATTGTTACGAAATGTACAGGCGCGGTAAGATGGCTTCCCCGCAAAGCAGTTTTAGGGTTGCCATAAAACGGCAGGAAGGCGCGGGTTGACCATTTGGCGATAAATCGCTATTGGCGACAGCCATGGGCTGATGATGACTTCTGGAACGAATTCTTACCGGTTGCCCAGAAGTTTCTTGAACACAAGCGAAAGCTATATAAACCCCTGGTCCGCATCAGTCGTGTCCAGATAGTGCCTCGTCGAAAGGGCGAGTGTGTGTCTCGTCTAGAGCGATTTAGTTAGTATCCGTTGGGTGTCTCGTCAAGCGAGTCCTCCCATCTCAGTATGAGCTGACAGACGGGCAGCAATGCCGATGGTCGTAGAGTGCACCGAAGAGTCAGTAGCGTGTCGCGTTAGTGACATCGTCGAGAAGATCGTGTTAAGCTACGGGAACGACTGAAGCGAGAATGGAGGCTGTGAGCTGAGTGTCGTCGAGTGCATCGTGAGTTGTAGCGTGGAGAGTCTCGAGAGTAGCGGACTTCCGAGAAGACCAAACAGAGTCGGGAGCGTACTCTGGTGCT